CCTTTGCCAAAGCGTCAATATGTGACGACTTGGGAGTGAGAATGTGTAGGTTGTGCTCATGTGATCACACTGACACATTTAGGAGAGTCGTTGATGAATCTGATGTAGTTTGAAGCAGCTCAGGTGAGAAATATTTGTCTGAAAATGAAGGTTTAAATTTGTTTAACTCATTCTTCTGTCTCTGCAGCTCTCTGAGGTCCTGCTGAGTGCCTTGAATCAGAACCTCGTCCAGTTCACGCTGAGGCCGGGAGTCCAGGTCACCGTGTACGCAGCTCACCTGTCGGCAGGTAACCACATGTTGCTTTCTTCTTCTTCAGTAGTGAGTGGGACAAACAGAGAGCATGGGACTGTTAGTAGCTGTAGCTGCAGGACAGTCAGCTTTAACTTTCACATTTAATTGCCCCACCGCTCAACTAATAACCCCACCCTTGTGTCTGATTGGCTCCCACCATGTAGCTACTCAGAGACATTCAGAGAGTGAGCACCGTTACACGTATGTGTGCCTCTTCCTATTGGGGATGCTGCTACTTTTAAGATGAAGAGTAAGAGCAGTCCATATATTAAACTGATTCACATGGGTGTCATTTCTGTTCACCGCTCATCGCATGAGTCAGCAGGTGGAAAATACAGYCCGGCTGAAGCGTGGGTTGTTGACGCCGGGCGGCACTTGTCTCCCTGTCTCTGCAGCGCCCCTGGTGGACACCAGTGAGAACCACAGCGGCTCCGCCATGCTCATGCTGCTGTCAGTGGTGGTTGCAGGTTTAGCTGTGTTTGTCATCTACAAGTTCAAGAGGTAACGTTTTCATCAGGCTCTGTAAAGTCGCTTAGAGATGCACCAGTACAGATTAGAGTTTCAATCAATCAATCAATCAATCAATCAATCAATTAATCAAACACATTCTCACTCCCGTCAACATATTGATGCTTTTCCAAAGTTCCCTCTGCGTCTTATTCTGACGCGACGGGTGACCCCCTCGCGTCAGTCCTTGCCACCCGCGGCTTTTCCAGGTTGCACCAACAGGGACCTTTGGGTCGGGGGTCKGAGGTTAACATGAGGGATCAGGATAAATGGTTAAGTTTAGGTACTGGGGTCAGGGACAGGATGTCTACAGCGAATATTATGTAATTTTAGGCTTTGGAACACATAGTTGACGTGAATTTCCTACATTTTCTAAAAATGGTTAATTTTAGATATAAGGGTTAATGGTTAATTTTAGGTACTAGGGTCAGGGACAGGATGTCTAAAGTGAATAAAGTAATTTTAGGTTTTGGAACGGTAGTTTTTGTGCATTTTCTACACTTTCAGAAATTATGACAACAGATTTTGCCCCATCTCGTCAAAAATTGAAACAAGGGGAGTACCCGACGCGTCAAAATCGGACGCAGAGGGAACTTTGGAAAAGCGTCATTCAATATGTGACGACTAGGGAGTGAGAATGGGTTGATCAATCAATCAATCAATCAATCAATCAATCAATCAATCAATCAATCAATCAATCAATCAATCAATCAATCAATCAATCTCACAGAAAGAGGGAGACTGTTACAGAGTTTAGGAGCTACAACTGAGAAGACTCTGTCCCCTTTAATCACCAGCAAGAACCACCAAGAGCATGAGATCTCAGATCTCTACCAGGATGAGAACAGTAGGAGCTCAGAAAGGTAAACTGGTGTCAGACCACTTAAACATTTAAAAACCAAGAGTAAAACTTTAAAAACAATCCTAAAAAGGAACAGGGAGCCAGTGAAGAGATTGCACTACAGGAGTAATGTGCTCACATCATCTGGTCTCCGTTAACAAATGAGCAGCTGGATTCGGTATCAGCTGAAGACGACGGAGCAGAGACTGGTCAGTCCCACTGTAAAGGGAGTTGCAATRACCCAGTCTGGAGAAAATAAAAGCATGAATAACCCTTTATAAAGAGGAAGATAAGGCTAGACTTTAAYGGTAAAAACTAGACCTCTGCACCGACTTGTCTGTCAAATTTGAAGTTATTGTCTAAAATAACCCCAAGATTCCAAGAGTCCAAAGAGCCAACAACACTGTTRAATCCTACCATTAGATCAGTTCTGCCAAACCCATGATCTCTGTCTTATTTTCATTTAGACAAAGGAAGTTTAGCTCCATCCATCTTTTAACATCTTAAACAGTTCTGCAGATTCTCTGTACACTGAGATCCATCCGATCTTAAAGATAATTAAATCTTAAATGTCATCTGCATAAAAATGAAACGAGACATTATATTTATTGAAAATGAACCCCAGCGGAAGCAAATAAAGAGAAAATAGAATGGGACCCAGTAAGGAGCCTTGAGGTACCCCACATTTCGTAGGAGCCTCTGTGTAAGAAAACTCTCCGTTTTGAACAGAAAAAAAACACTTATCAGACAGGTAGGACTCAAAGCTGTTGGTGTTCGTTTCACACCAAAAGACCGTTCCAAACATGATAACACTTTATGATCCACTGAGTCAAAGGCAGCAATGAGATCAAGAAGAATTAAAACAGCAGAAGCACCAGAATCAACAGTTAAAAGCAAATCTCTGCACAGCACAAATACTCAATACAGGAAGTACTCTAAAGTAAAGATGTGGTCCAGACAGCTCGTTAACCAGAAGCTGCAGAGAAGGTTGGTGCCTGTCTGCCAAACGGACGCTTCTGGACGTTTGTTCGACTTTTCCCCTCGAACATCTGTGGGGATCCTGTCGAAACGCTTATCAGGTCATTCCTCACAAAAAGAAATGTCARTCAACCTTCAGCTGCCATCAATATTAAGGCCTTTGAACGGAGGCAGCTGACCTTTCTCAAATGTTAAACTGTTTCCTGGCTGTGGTGGAGCTCCAAGGGAGGAGCTGTGAAGGGTCAGGAGGAGCAAAATGAAACATGAAACATTACTAAACGCTTCAAGATTTCTTATTTTTAAACCTGTATCAGTACCTGAATGTGTTGTAGATCAGTGTAGACGTTGTGTTTTATCCGTTCACCTCACTGTAAATCTTCTCTCAAGGAAGATCCCAGGCCTCAACGTCTATGCGCAGATGCAGAACGAAAAAGAACAAGAAATGATGAGTCCAGCTGATCCAACAAAGGCCACGCCCAGCTCACAGCAGGACCTGGTGCCTTCTTTGGAGATCCTGGACACCGAGTTCAACTCGCGGCCCATTGGTGAGCACCCACGCACCACACCTGGACTGCCATTTCTTTCCATTTGTTCACTCCATTGTTCCATTTTCATTTTCACATCATGTTTTCATTTCATGAGTCTCATCCTGAGCTTTCTGTTGTGTGTTTCTCAGTGAAGTGGTCCAGGCCACAGGAGAACTAAACAAAGCTGAACATGACAAACAGTACAGAGGCTTAGAGTGGTACGATCAAACAGCTGCTGTTCCTGTGCTCTGTTTTTAATCTCTGCTGAATATCTATCTATCATCCATCCATCCATCCATCCATCATTCATTCATCCATCCATAACCCATCCATAATCCATTCATCCATCCATCATCCATTCATCCATCCATCCATCCATCCATCTATCATCCATCATTCATCCATCCATCATCCATTCATCCATCCATCCATCCATCCATCCATCCATCCATCCATCCATCAATCAACACATCCATACATCCATCCTTACCTGCTTCTTCTGTCCCAGGTCAGATTCTGTCTGTGTCCAAATTCAGGATCTGGGTCCTCCAAAGGCCAAATATTTCGGCCACTTAAGTCACAGCGCCATGCTGGAGGCTGTCTAAAGACTCCTCCAATACGGCCGACATATGTGTCCTCCTTTTACCTTGATTTGAAGGACAGGTCCGATGGATCCTTCTCTTCTCCCATAATGCATTGCGGGCCGACCAGAGATTAGTTTCTGCTCATTATGGTGGACGAAGCGAGAGAAAGGAGTTTAGTTTTAAATAAGAATCCRTTGGTATWAAAATTAAAGTTTCAAGCGGTTGTGTTGTTAATGCTGTTATCATTTATATAAACATGTTTTAATATTATTCTTGTCAGAATCAAATGAGCTGGTAGAGAACTAAACAGRCACCTACAGCAGGTCCATTAGTTCTTCAAATATTGACTTTAAGGTATTTTTTTTTGTTTTATAATATTGATAATAACAATATATTGATATTTAGATAATTTCCATCTATTTTTGCTTCTGTTTACCATCGTCGCGGTTGGTAGGTGACAGAATGTRCACCGGGCTAAGGAGAGGCTAGACCGTCCATATTCACAGTTTTGTCTGGACTTCACAGTCGACTAAGTCCCGGCCCTCGAAGGACCAGCACCTGGATTTGGACACAGCCTCTGTACTTTCATCTGGTTTATAAAACCTCTCACCTGCTTCCTGTTTGTGTTCTTGTCTCTCCTCAGGATGTATGAAACCTCATGTACATGTGAAATTCTCCACAGAACTCCCCACATACATCGTCTGAACGAACGCTGGACCCAATCATTGCTCCAGATGCATCATGGATCTTTTTTGTTTTGTTTTGTACCATTTGGGACGCGATGGTTTTGAGCTTTATACCTGTGCATGTTGRACTCGGCTGACACAAACCAGAACAAATTGTGTACAGGTTTTCACTTTAGTTTTTTTCAGCACATGTTGGACAAACAGAACTTTTTGAAACATCTGGATTTTGGTTTATTCCTCTGAGTGGAGAAGGAAGTCCAGCAGGAAGCAGAAAGGGAATCACAGCAGCAGTTTTCTTTAAACATCTCTGATTGGTTTGTTGAAGCGAACAGCAGCAGTGTTTGATTTATTCACATTGATATACCTTATTGAAGTGAATTACACATTTATTTTGTAAATCATGAATGTCTATGTTAGAGTTTTGTGTGTTTTAATAACAAATGTCAGACTAAAAGAGATGCTGTTCTAAGATAGGTTCTCTCAAAGCTTTTGATCCGYTGTTCTCAAAAAGCTGATTTATGGCACAAAAAACATTTTCTACTGAAATAGTCCTTTTTTAATTTTCATTTCAGGATTTAGTTTTGAGGGTCAGCTCAACCTTTTGCTGTTAATCTAATGCTTCTGGTATTTCTGACAGGCCGGTTTGTAAAATGTTTTGTGCTTCAGAGGATCACCCTCTCACAGCAAGCGAGCCCAGACCTGAGCAGAGGGGACACGGTGTGTTGACAGATGTGTCTCATCGCAGCTCCGTTCACATGCAGCTGCCCTGCAGGACAAGTCAAAGAGCAGGACGRAGCTTTCTGAGGACACGTTAGGAGCGTTCCAGTGGACAGAATAAGAGCAGGTCGACTTTCTGAAGACTTATTGTGGCCTGTTGAGCTGGAGGCTCATTCAGGTCCATGACATATTCAGGCTAATGTCCTGATCTGCTGCAGTGTAGGACCCATCTTCATMCCAGCTCATTAGAAGTCGCTGCAGGAGCTGCAGAACCGGAGCGTAGATGCTGCAGGGCTGGATCAGTGGACCAKCCAGACCCTCGGTGCTTCAGATCTGACAGATGGAAATGACTGATTGATGCTGTTATTTTCTTCTTTTTTCTCTTTTTTTACTTTTCACCAGGAAAGTTCTTTCAGTTTTAAAATATCTTTTAATAAATCTGTAGGTAAAGTTGATCAGACATAGGTCCCAAACACATTTCAGTTTTGTGATAACGGTCCAGATCAGGTTCCAGGTCAGTTCCTACTTCTGCCAGTTTGTACCCAGACTTTTTTGTACACACCTCAGCCTGCTTCAGTCCTGTCTCTGCAGACCCTCATTTTAGATGATTTGGTCTTTTAATAAACAAGTTGTAATAATAGTGTTTCACATCTATTGTCTGAAATGTCCACATGTGGATGAAGGATCTGACAGAAGTAAGGACTGACCAGCCCCCTCCTTTCAATGAAAACAAATTAATTAATCCAGTTACTGACAGGGGCAGGCGTTCATTAGAAGAAAACTCTTTTTATTCACTCACTATTAAAAGAAAAAATATTTATTTTACTCTGATTTCTTGTGATTTAGTCATTTCTAACGATGAGCTGAGAAGTTTTTCCTCAACAATGTTAAAACTGTGGAAATCTGCTGCTTTCATCGTCTTAAAATCAAAACAAAACAAAACCTTTTCAAACTGCGTTTTTCTGTTTGCATCATGAGACAAAGTCTGCAGACCTCTGCTCCGTTTCTGCAGGAAAATCTTCAAAGCCTCTTCTGATGAAACAGCCAGGTGTAAAATTAGGGAAAAATGACTTCTTGTTGTAAACAAGAAGAAATCTCCTTCATGCCTCCGAAGTCTTTTTCCACAACAAAAGCAGAGAAAAGAGATTTGTTTGTTGTCATGAAGCTTTATTATCTGGAATCCTCTGATAGTTCTTTATGTTGAAACAAACAGGAGTTAAAATGTAAAATGAGTAAAGTGGTTGGAAATGTTCAGACCTGAACCTGGAGGTCGGGTTCAGAAGCTCTGAGTTTGAAATGCACCAGTTTGCTTTTGTTAAACTAAAAGATGAGAGCTAAATAGCTGTTAGCAACTTAAAGATGATTAAATATTTATAAAATATAACAAGTCAAACTAAGATTATATTCACACTGCAGCACACAGACACCAAGTTCTTCCACTTCAAGCTGATTAACTTATTATTTACTCTGAGATTCAGCTGTTTTAGGAACATCGGTCCATTTGAACCCATAATTCCAGGCAGAGTTCAGAGCATTATAACAAGGTTCTAACAGCAGGACATGACAGTGATCACATTAAGACTGATGCTGATTTAATGACARGTAGTCTGACTCATCAAAATAAAGAGTTCAAACTGCCATCATTTAATAATCAGGCTTTACAAAGTAGTATCATATTTGAGATAAACTCCAGGTGTTCTGTTTGATTCAGAAGATATGATCTGATGAGTGAAACCAGGACTTTTACTTTGTAACAAACAGAATATTTACAACAAAAACATCATCTGAAGTTTGYCTTCTGATGCCTCAGCAACATGTTTCTTTTGTTCTGACATCCCGTCTTGTTAAATTTAAAAAAGAGGACAATTTGACCAGCTTTGTTTTAGTTTTTAGTCTTTTAGTGTTCAACAGTTGAAGGTAGAAAAGCAACAAACATTTCTTTCTTTTCCTTCCTGTGTCGCTGGCTGCAGGCTTGCTCTGAGTCAGATCTAGAAATGATTTAGGATGKATTTGAATCTGTTCCACCTGCGTATGAACGACTGTAGATATTATTCATCACAGAGGAGAGGCTGAGTCGTGTTCACTGATGACAGGAGGAGCAAGGATCAGTTTGACCAGGTGTGCATGTCTCACAGGTGCATTTAACACATCTGCTTTAGACCAGAACAAAACTGCACTCCGACAAAAACAGGTTATTTTTGTTGCACAAAAACAGAAGTATTTTGCAAATTCTAATGATTTTTCATTCAATTCTACATTTTGTTTCRGGTTTTGCAAAGCAAGAATGTAAATGTTAGAGTTTGAGAGGCTAAAATGCTTCAAATTTATCATTTTTAGAAAAAAATCCCATTTTTGTCTGTATAGCTCTGATGTAGACTTGAAGAATGACTGTAGTAAAAGCAGATGAGAGGTAAAGAAGAGAGAATGCTCAGTCTAAACCCAGGAAACAGAAATGGTCTCCCTGCTTTCAGGCTTCAGAAATGAAAGCAGACAGAACRTGGAGCCAACAGGAGGCCTCTGCAGCTTCAGGGCAGGGTGAGCTGGGATGAGACGGCTCCAAATGCTGTGAAGAGGAACCATCTCCTCCCTGCAGAGTTAGCCAAAACATTATTTTTGTAGTGAAATATTAACAATAATCCAAAAAAGAGACTTTTATTACTGTACAGCTTTTGTATAAGAACAGACAGTAAAATGTTCAAGTGTTTTTGTTTGACCTGAACTGTGCTGTGTGTAATTGTTTAATGCATTTACAATCATATTTATTAAATGGAAGAAGTCTGTTATTTCTTCTGGTTTTCTTTGGAAAGAAATCTGTGATTTTACAAAGAATGAAGTGTGAAAACCTCAGACCCCAACTGTGACCTGAGAACAGAGGTTCCAACCCGAAGAAAGAGGAAAATTAAAATATAAAAAAGGATTGTCTGATCCCTCCGTCTACAGAACAGTTGTGATCTCCGAGCCCTCAGAGGCACCACATCAAGACCTACAATACCTGACTGRACCGCACAAACTTTACCCAGCAGAAAACAGGCCTGATGTTCACCTGGTCCACTGGTGGTGAAGACCTGAGTCAGATTAGGACTCCAGATCTGTGCTGGATGAAATGGACCAAGAAGACAAAGCTGCATCCAGACTTCTCAACAACAGGTTCAAAACAAGAGATTGAATCCAGAAGAGTGCTGACTCCGCTGACAACTCAGGGCGGGGCACCACTGCACACCTGTGGGACACAACTGTCAACACAATCTGTTAAACTGCGAACTCCTGATGAGAGAAGCTTTGTGATGCTGCTGGGAGAYGTGAAAACATGGAGGGTTACAGGAAACGTCCAGACATGACCAGCAGCAGAACTCAAGCTTCAAAGCCTGAAGGCTGAAACTAAAAATTACATTTATTTTGTTTTTCTACATGAGTCCGAAGATCATCTGAAACCATATAAATCATGTTTTAATAGCTGAGAGTCACAAAAAGAAAAGAACAGTTACTGAGATACAGTTTGACTTGATGCTGCTTCTTCAGGTTGCATTCATTCTGTGTAAATGTTTGCTCTTTCCTTTTTCACAAAGTGAAGAAAACTAAAAAAAAATAAATAAATAACTGCCAGAAACCCTGAAGGAAAACTGAGCAGAACAGTTTTATTTTAAAGGTCATGCAGCATATTTTACAAAGAGACCCTGCTCAGAATCCAGACTGGAGATCAGATCCTGTCAGAAWACGTTATTAAAATTCAATTAAAGTGAGTGAAGCACAGTAAGCCCTGTCGTTGGCTTCTTTGACTACTTGGTAATCCTTCATTGGACAGCTTTAATGAAAATGCTGACATGCTTTATAGAAAGTGAAAGAACCGGGGTTTATCCAGGTTTTCTCTTTAACTCTTTCCAGTCTGAAGATCCTTCCATGAAACAAACGTTACAAACAGTCAGGTTTAAAACCAGCTCTGAGTTTGACCCGTTTCATAAAAAAATATAAAGTTTTTTTAAATTAACTGAACGGATCAGGTTTTAAAGAAGTCAAACAGAACAGACTGCAGAACACCTGGAGGAGCAGGTGACCCTCGCTGTGTGTATGTGTGGGGGTGGGGGGTGGAGGGGGTGTCAGAGTTTATAAATATTAATAAACCAAATTAAACTGTTGATTTAAAACTGATTAAAACCAAACTGACTGGAGCTAATAGTTCCTGATTGGTGTTATTTATTTTCGAATTGGACTGAGACAAAATGAAACTTGTCATTCCTCTAAAGGGGCATTAGTACCTCCCCCAGGTGTGAGGGGGGCACAGGGGGAGGAGCCTTATGGATCTGCTGGTTTCTCCTCCTGGTGTTTTGTTTGGCCTAAAATAAATAGTTATTGGAGCTGTTTGATTTGATTAAAGTGAAGAAATCCTGGTGGGTGGAGTGCAGCTCTCTGCTGATGAAGAGGAGGAGGGGGGCATCTCATATCTCTCCTTCAAGCATTCTTATGTTCCAGCATGGAGCACTTGTGTGCACAGCAGCACAACACTTAATCTTCTGCAGTTTTGTTGTTTTTACCTGTTTTTCCATCTGTTCTCCCACAGATCAGCTGCTCCTCTCCAACACGTAAAGAATTCTACATTTTTTAAAAACACGTGCACAGACAAATCACCTTCATCCACCAACATGCTCATATTTACACACACACACACACGCAGCACCAATCATAGTGTTTGATATGGAAATGCAACTAAATCAGCCAAACATTTGCATTCTGCTGATCACCGCAGAGCTTTTCTCTTCTTTTTCGGCTGCACAGAGCAGATCTTTGCTCCGGCCTTGGTTTAAATAGGAACTGACAAAAACAATGGAGCTTAAAGGAGAATTTATAATAGGAGCAACAAAAAATAAAAACTGTGCATCCATGAAGAGGTTGAACAAAAACTATACGCACAAAAGCAGAAGCTATGGACTCAAGAGGATAAAACTGGTGGGGCACAGCCCCCCTTGTCCACCCCCACTTGTGGTGCCCCTGGTGATTGACAGGTGATGTTCCACGGTGAAATGTCGAGCTGGAGCCACATCACCGTGCATCTCTGAGAGGCAAACATGTAGAGGTTTGGCCTCAAAGGGTCTCAGGGTGTCCCCCAGGCCAGAGAGGATCCAGTTCTGGGTCATGCGGTCTAAAAGCCTCCAGAKGGAGGATTTTATCCTCACTTTACTTTGTTCTGCTTGAAAATGAGAGACACACAGTTGAAGTCTTTACCTTTAAAGGGTGTATGAAAACAGAAAAAGGATRTAAACATGAGTGGGCTTCAAGCTGCCTCCTCTTGGTGTTCTCTTTAAAAAGAAACTTATTTGATAGATTATTTAACTGCAACCGATGAACTCTGAGTTCCTCCAAGCCTTCATTAATGAACCACACACACACACACACACACACACACACACACACACACACACACAGATTAATTCTGAGTCTTTCATTTGAGACGTTTCCTCAGCCTGTTATCCGTGTGGACGTGCCCGCTGGTCTAAACAAAGCAGGCTCTCTTGGCGACAGTGTTTCWTTAAAATCCCCGTCAGAGGGACAGACTCATCTGACTCCACGTTCAGAGCAGAAAAATCACCTCTGACTCACTCWTTCGAGCGTTTTGACATTAACCACAGCAGGGGTTTCACAGTGTAATCCCACACACCACTGAATGGATTCACTTTTTGATTTCTGTTTGATTCCAGACATGATGCTCACAGCTGACCTCAGGTTGCTGCAGCTCCATCCTTCAACACGAGACAGGATTAATGTTGGACTGAGATAACTTCAGGCATAAATTAGTCGCTTGGTTTTGTTTGATTTCACAGTTGGATGATTTCATGATCTTTGTGATTATCTTCTGGAAGTTTCTGGGTCTGTGAGCTGCAGGACCCACTGTCCCGATCCTAGCTCCGTATAAAAAATACAAAATCACAAATCTTGAATAAAAGTGAAAAAATAAACAGGTTTTAGAAGAATCTGATCCTGGTTTTCCTCTGCAGTTTGATGTGTTTGTCAGGATGTTTAGCAGGAATTCAGTGTTTTTGTTAAGTGGCCAGATGAGAGAAAAATCATCCGTTTTAAATATTTTACAGTCTGGAAAACGAAAACTTTTAGAACAAACTGACTGGATTAAACACGTTGATTGTTTTGTAAAGATCAGTAAGAGTCAGATCTCATCTGAAACATTCAGAGAAACTTTTCTTCAATAGAAGCTGCAGAACAAGTGACATTTTCTGTTTGCTCTGAAACAAAAAGGTAAATGTCAGCAGCAGCAGAGATGTTTGGATTATTAATCCCACCGATGCCCTGGATGTCCCATGTTGCTCCTCTGCAGGTTGATCTGTAAACKTTGAGTTTTATCAGAAACGTGTTGTGAGGTGACACACAGATCATCCTGCTTCTTTAATGTCAAATGATGTGCTGAAGAACAAACWGGGTTTAACATTTATACTTTGTGTTCAGTTTTTTTTAATTTGCATGACATCACAAAGAAAAACAGATGTTTTTAAAAAAGATTTGACAAGTCAGACTTCAGGTTTTATTCTAAAAGAACTAATTTCTCTGCCTGAATCAACTCAAACCAAGCTGTGAGGATGAAAAGGGAAGTGAGAAAACAGATTTCTTGTTTTGTTTCTCGTCAGCATCAACCATCAGAGACATTTTATTTGAATAAACTAATTATTTGCTGTGCTTTGTGTCGTGCACTGCAGCAGTGTTGGAGCATGAAGTCAGCACAGCGGTGATCCAGCCGTGGATGCTGGCGTGGAGTCTGACTTTCCCTCAGCAGGGGGAGATGTGGTTCTGTCAGCTTCCTGAGACGCCTCTGAGCTCYGACGTGACGAGTGCAGCCGTCCTGCTGCCCAAAGGCTGCAGATCTGGTTTCAACTTGCAGTTTTTATGTTATTTAATAGGATTTTCTGAGTAATGTGTCACTCCCTGCAGTCTGTCACTCGGCTGACGGAGTGTGCTCTGGGAGCTGGTGGGGAGTTCATCGTGGTTGTCTAAACAGAGAGAGTGTGTGTCTGAGCGAAGCCTCTGCACTCACACCACAGGAACAGTCTGTTTGCTGCACACACTTTAAATATGTAAAGAAAACAACAATTAGTTTGAAAGGTCAACAGTTTTCACACATCAGAACACCACGAATCACAGGTTAAAGGCAGCAGCTCGGCTGGTTACTGCAGAGCCAGGCTCATGCACACACAACATCCAGAGATTCTTAACCTGTGGGCCGTGAGCGCCACCTTGAGGGCCTCAAAAGAACAACAGTTTTTAACTTTGGGCCACAGA